ACAAGGTTCAAAGAACTAATACAGCCTATGTTGAATACTGCTGCAGGTGAACCTGTTCACAGCAGCTGCAGTCCCTCAGTCATTGACCAAACGGTGGACAACACTATGGAGTCTTTAAAATCTGCATTAAATGCAGCAGCTCCTTTAAAACAGAAAACCATTAGGATTAGATCATCGTCGCCCTGGTACAGTGTTCAACTCCACACTTTAAAACAGGACGTCAGAAAATTGGAGAGGCTATATTGCCACTCCCACTCGGAGCCTGTCCACAGGGAGTGGAAAGCAGGTCTCCGAAACTACAAGAAGGCCCTTCGCGGGGCTCGAACTCAATACTATTCAACTTTAATAGAAGCGAATAAAAACAACAGTAGATTTTTGTTTGGTACCGTCGCTAAACTCACAAACTGCCATAGCGCAATCGAGCCTAAAATTCCAAGCTCACTGAGCAGTGTCGACTTTCTCCACTTCTTTAATAATAAAATTACATCCATCCGTGACAAGCTGGAGGAGGTTGCTCCTGCTGTTAGTGGTGGACAGGTTGAAGCGGCATACGTGACTTCCCACTTAGACTCTTCAGTGGGCCTTAATAAATTCATGGCTGTGAGCCAAGCAGAGGTGATCTCTGTGGTCACATCCTCAAAAGCCTCAACTTGCATGTTAGACGCAGTCCCGACATGGCTCTTCAAAGACATACTTCCTTTGATAATTGAGCCTATCGTAAATATAATAAACGCATCCATACAATGTGGCTATGTCCCACAAGCTTTTAAAACCGCGGTAATCAAACCCCTTCTGAAGAAAACAAACCTGGACCCAGAAATACTTACAAACTACAGACCGATCTCAAACCTCACTTTTATATCTAAAATCCTGGAAAAACTTATAGCTGAGCAGCTTTGCTGCCACCTGCAGGAAAATGATATGTTTGAAGTCTTTCAATCAGGATTCAGAGCTCATCATAGCACTGAAACGGCACTAGTCAAAGTCACAAATGACTTACTACTAGCTGCCGATAATGGACAAGTGTCAGTGCTGGTCCTACTGGACCTTAGTGCTGCATTTGACACAATAGACCACAGCATTCTACTGCAGAGGCTAGAATGTGATATAGGTCTTAGAGGAACAGCCCTTGGCTGGTTTAAATCCTATTTATCAGATCGATATCACTTCGTCAATGTGAATCAGGACTCGTCGCCTTATTCTGGAGTGGAATTCGGTGTGCCGCAGGGTTCGGTACTCGGACCGATTCTTTTTTCTCTCTCTACATGCTGCCACTGGGAAACATTATTAAAAAGCATGGAATTAATTTCCACTGCTATGCAGATGACACACAGCTTTATCTGTCGATGAAGCCAAATCAGACAGATCAGCTAGAAAAGCTCAGTGCTGCATAAAGGACCTTAAAATGTGGATGACTCTTAACTTCCTACTTCTCAACCCGGAGAAGACAGAAGTGATCCTACTCGGTCCGAAGCGCCTGCGTGACTCCCTCACTAACCAGATGGTTACTCTCGATAATGTCAGTATAATACCCAGTAACACTGTGAGGAATCTTGGAGTCATTTTTGACCAAGAACTCTCCTTCAAGGCTTATATAAGCCAAGCAACTAAAACGGCGTACTTCCACTTACGGAACATCGCTAAAATTAGGAATTTCCTTCCTAAAAGTGACGCGGAAAAACTCATTCACGCGTTTGTCACCTCAAGGCTCGACTACTGTAACGCTTTACTGGCAGCGTGCCCTAAAGCCTCTTTGAAGAGCTTCCAGCTCGTTCAGAATACAGCAGCTAGGATCTTAACAGGTACCAAAAGGAGGGAGCACATAACTCCGGTGTTAAAATCACTCCACTGGCTCCTTGTGGAGTACAGAATAAAGTTTAAAATCCTACTCTTAACATATAAAGCCATAAATGGCTTGGCTCCTTCTTATCTCCAAGACACGTTAGTGTCGTATCAACCAGGTCGAGCGTTGCGCTCACAAAACGCCAGACGTCTGGTGGTCCCTAAGGTCTCAAAGGTCACTGTTGGTGGCAGAGCATTTAGCTACCAAGCTCCTTTACTGTGGAATCAGCTTCATTTATGTTAAGGAAGCAGATACGGTCTCCACATTCAAGGCCAGGCTTAAAGCACTTTACTTTAATTTAGCATATAATTAGGTAATATATAATATGTAGTGTATATATTATATATATATGCTGTATTATGTTATATATTATGTTATATATTATTCAATAATGTATTGTGTTATGTTGTATATTATGTTATATATTATGCTGTATGTTATTCTTTATTCAAGGCTAGGTTTAAAACAGTCCTCTTTAGTTTAGCATATGGCTAGGAAGGTAAGACTCGGAGAAGGTTAAACTCCTCAGAGTGTTAGTCAAGCTGCATAGGGAGCCCCCTGCTGGAGAAGTATGGTAACTTGAGCACTATCCTCTCCTCCTTCCTACTTTATCTGTTTAGCATTTTTAGGATTCTGACTGTAGTTTGTTCATTGCTATTCACCCGTTGTCCCATTGTCTGTTTCATGGTACGATGACGGGATCTCTGAGCCTGGCCTCCTCCATCTGCACCTGCGGACTGCCCCGCCCGACCCGCCTGGGAGTGCTTCAGTCCTGCACCGGACCTGTCCACGTTCAGCGGCCATTGGTCCACGTTCTGTAGCTAGCTTAGGTCCTAGATCATTAGCCTGTCCGTCCGGAGGAGCGGATCCCTTTCTCATATGGGTCTCCCTCCCTGTGGGTTTCCCTAGTTCTCCCCAAGGTTTCTCACTTTTTCCCACTGGGTTTTTTAAGAGTTTTTCCTTGTCGATGCAGGAGGGTCTTGTTGGACAGTTAGTGTCCAACAGAAAGGATTGGTGATGATCAGGACACTTTAGCATTCTACAACATGTATGGACATTTTCTTCTGTGTGTGCTTTATACTGTATTCTTCATGTGTTTTAACTGTTGATTCTCTGACCTGTGTTGGTGATTTCAATGGTTTTGTTAAGTCCTCTGAGATGACTTCTGTTGTGACCTAGGGCTATACAAGAATAAATTGTATTGTATTGTATTGTATTGTATATTAGATGATTATAACATTAGGATTAGTAAAGGCTGTGATACTGAAAGACGTAAAAGGAATTAAGGAAAAAATATTAATATAAGCATTTTATACATAAACAAATCAAGTGCATGTTATTGTGAATGTCACTGTTGCATAACTGTAAATACACCTTGGAATAAACTAAGATGTAGCAACCACACAATTTAAGTTAATTTAGAATGATAAATGGAGGGTGGGAGTTTAAAAGTATTAACTTCTTCACACTCCTTTTTGAACTGGATTGCTGTTAATAAAACAAAACTGTATATTTGTACATGATGATGATGATGATTGACTTTTAAACATGATTCCTGCAGGATCCAATCTGCAGTGTTTTACTGATTCACTGTCATCCAGTGTATAGAATATTTCTCCTGCCTCTACCGTCCACCATTTTGTCCTCTTAGGGAACTTTTAAGTTGCTAAAAGTCCTCCTCTCAACTCTTAAGGGATCTCACCTTAGGAGCACTCTTAAGAGCTAGGATTCTTTAGGAATAGCTTTTTTCTTAACTAGAAGCTACTCCTCACTTTTAGGGGAAATTCTAAGAGTTGGTCAAGATTCTAAGAAAATTCTTAGAATTTGGCCACTAGGAGCAACTTTTAGCACTAAGAATCTTTAGGAATACGGCCCCTGATGTGCTTCAAGTGAAAAGACTGTATCTGGAGATCCTGATGTGCATCTGGAGAGACCAGAACCATGGCTTGGACCCTACTGATGTCCAAGATGACATCTCTCAAAATATGACCTGACCTGATGACGACTGAGACTCACCCTCAGGGGACCCTGAGGACCTGAGGACCTGAGAGAAAAAACTGGGGAGTGATGTTTATATTTTTGAAATCATACATTGATGAGTGGTAAATGAGAGAGATACTCATGATTCTTTCTTTTGTTTTTGTTTGTCCCTAGCTTCTGGACATCTGATGATCTATTGGACACAGCCATTTGCAGAACAAGAACCAGCCAATGAAAAATCGTCTATTGCCGATGCTATTGCTACAACCAGAACCTGTGACCAAATGCAATATACATGTTAAGTATTCAGACATCTGACAGACAAAAACTTTGACTTTTTAGTCTGGTAGACTGAGCAACTGTTAAAATGTTTTAAAGTGATAAAGTATGAGTATTGTAGCGTTTTATTAGATGTTAAATAGTAGTAAAAAAGTAGAATTGTCCTTCCTTTGTTGTTCATAAACACATTTCCACATAAGAGTTAAAATAGTACCATACAGTGTGATCCTTTTGATAGAGCAGCTAAAATATTAGAATCAGAATAATGTTACAGCCATTAAAAGTGACAGAAGTCACAGATTAGAAATATGCCTTGACTCAAGCTGCAACCAAGCTTTAGAGCCACAATAGTGTAGAAATAGAGACATCAACCATAGATTCTTTCAAAAATAGAGATTATTTGTAGCCAGTGCTAATATCAAATGGTAAAGGGACCATTTCACAAACATTTACTTCAGAAGTAGATAAAGTTACTTACAGTTTATGTACAGTTTTATTAGATACTGCCAAATTCACTTGTGTTCAAACATGAGTGAATGTTGACTATGCAAAAAGTTCATATGAGTGTAGCCTAGATTAATGCCTAGATCAATGAGATAGATTACAACCAACAGAGATTCAAAAGCATATAAAAGCATTTTGATGTATTTGGGTGTAGCACAAAAACAAAATAGTAGATATTTGGATATCTTTGAGAAGTTTAAAAAGCTGTAGATTCACCAGCACAGATCAGAGAATCAAACACCATTGTAGAACATTGACCCCAACCCCAAACCTGCTAAAATAGATTAGCTCTTGTAAGGATAATACTAATTTGATTATTGACCAAACTGACCAGATATATTGCCTATCCCTAATTAAGAGTTCTAGAGTTCTAGAGTTCTACAGTATTAGAGTCCTAGAGTCTCACCTTCTCTCTCAGCGCTGCGCTCACATAGAAGTTCCCCAGTCCTTCATGATCATCGTCCTGATTCAGAAGATCTTTGAGAGTCTGAGACTCCTGCACCCTGCAGAACTGACACCAGACCAGGGTCATACCAGGACCAGACCAGAACCGGACCAGACCAGGACCAGGACTGGACCAGGACATACCTGTCTGTAGAGGCTCAGCGCCAGCGGCTGGTTCCTCAGAGTCATGAAGAAGTCTCCTCTGTTCATCTCATTCTTCAGAAACGTGACCACCGTGAAAACTGAAACAGACACAGGTCATATGGTGTCTCGCTCTCTGGTCTCGCTCTCTGGTCTCGCTCTCTGGTCTCGCTCTCTGGTCTCGCTCTCTGGTCTCGCTCTCTGGTCTCGCTCTCTGGTCTCGCTCTCTGGTCTCGCTCTCTGGTCTCGCTCTCTGGTCTCGCTCTCTGGTCTCGCTCTCTGGTCTCGCTCTCTGGTCTCGCTCTCTGGTCTCGCTCTCTGGTCTCGCTCTCTGGTCTCGCTCTCTGGTCTCGCTCTCTGGTCTCGCTCTCTGGTCCTGGTCTTACCCAGGTCACTGTCTCCACTCTCCACAGCTTTACTCAGGGCCAGGTGACTTCTCTTCATCTTCAGCAGCAAAGGAACCTGTTCTCCAGAGCGAGCCTCGAACTCCAACAGCTGAGAGAGAAACAAAGGTTAGTCCTGCTTTAGTCCTGCTTTAGTCCTGCTTTAGTCCTGTTTTGTCCTGCTTTAGTCCTGCTTTAGTCCTGCTTTAGTCCTGCTTTAGTCCTGCTTTAGTCCTGCTTTAGTCCTGCTTTAGTCCTACTTTAGTCCTGCTTTAGTCCTGGTCTGGTCTTGCTTTAGTCCTGATCTGGTCGTGTTCTAGTCCAGTTTGAGTCAGACCTGGATAGCCAGCTCAGGTCTTCCGCTCTCGTAGGCCTTGGCTGCGATGTGAGAATATGAAACTCCAGGAGAATCTCCAACTTTACAGCAAACCACTCGAGCGACAGCTTCATCTGAGAGATCGGTCTGCTGCACCTGCAAGAGAACCAGGTCTGAGGTCTGGACCAGGTCTGGACCAAGTCTGGACTCACCTTACACGAGGCCCAGTGGCGCAGGACTCTGCTCACTCCCTGAAACTCTGGGATCTTTAAATATCGACAAATCTCTATGGCCAAAGGATAGAGCCTCCGGTGGACAAGCCTGGAATAACACATGTTTAAAGCTCGGGTCTGTAACTTTAGTCTCATAAATAACATGTTTATTACCTGTCAATCAGCACCTGCACAGTCATCTGTTTGAACCTGAGGTCAAAGGTCAAGGATCGGCTGCTGTTGACAGTGTACCCACAGTAACCACTGAGGTCTGCACTCACCCGAACACAGCACTACGGCTCGTTACGCTAAACGTTAAGTACCACAGTGTGACATCACCACAGTGTGACATCACCACAGTGTGACATCACCACAGTGTGACATCACCACAGTGTGACATCACCAGTAATTGGTCAGGCCTTATATGGTTCACAATACAATATTCACAATATAAACACTCTACATGTGGACAGAGGACCATGTGGACAGAGGACCATGTGGACAGAGGACCATGTGGACAGAAGACCATGTGGACAGAAGACCATGTGGACAGAAGACCATGTAGACAGAAGACCATGTGGACAGAGGACCATGTGGAGGATACTGGGTGTGGCTCAGCGGGAGGCCCACGCTGGTGTCTCTCACTGCGTTCAGTACTCTCAGCTCTCTGCAGGTCGACACAAACACCTCAGGACTGAAGTCTGAAAGAAAACACTTCCCAAAGGAGGCCGCCTGAGGGAGAGAGAGGGGAGAGAGAGGGGAGAGGGGAGAGAGGACAGAGGGGAGTGAGGGGAGAGAGGGGGGAGAGAGAGGAAAGAGAGGAGGTTAGAGAGTCTGGGTCCTGGTCTGGCCTAGTCTGGTCTGGTCCTGGTCTGTTCCTGGTCCTGGTCTGGTCTGGTCTGGTCTGGTCCTGGTCCTGGTCTGGTCTCACCCGCAGCAGTGCCTTCTGGACTGTACAGTTCCACTCGTGTCCTGAAGCCTCCACACACTGAGTCACAGCTTCAGTCAGAACTCTCTGATCCTTTATCTCCCGCAGGTACTCGTCTGCCTTCTGACTGTGCTTCTGCAACCACCAGAGAACAGGGCTGAACAGGGTCTGGACCGGGCCTAAAGCAGGTCTAAAGTAGGTCTTACCTCATACTCTCGGTGGGCCTCCAGCAGCAGAGCTCCTGGACTCATAGATGCAATCTTAAAGATCTCCTGTGAGACCAGAGGGACCTCCTGAAGCAGCTCCTGATGAGTCCCACAGATAATCCGGACTCCATCCAGTTCTGGGACCAGGACTGAGGTCTGGTCAAGAGGGAACCTGAACTAGATAAGGACTTTCATTCATTTATATACATGATATACAACATGATCATTTTAGATTCCCTGAGCAATACCTGAGAAGTTTTAAAGCTTCAGTTCTTTTAGTTTTATGAATTGCTTTTTTGCAGTAACCAAAGGCTGTGAGTGGGATTTGTTTTCTCAGACTTCAACACAGTCATTTAAATATGAAATTATGTATGAAACAGTAGAAGAGCCATGGTGTTCAGTAACTTCTGTCCTCAGGAAACTTATGTGAGGTTTCCATGTGATCTTTTGTATTGTCATCAAACCACATTTTCAGTTTAGCCACATTAACAGTTTCCACTGTTATCACGGCCAAAAGTTGCCCCCAGGGACTGAACATAAGACAGTGGTGGCTTATTGGTGCAAAGACAATGAAATGCATAAGTTTTTATATCTTACAGCTGTCCTTGATGTACATAATAATGTGGGTCCCAGTACCGACCCCTGTGGTACCCCACAGGTTCCTATATCCAGACTTGTGTTGATTGGTTTGTATGGTCTTTTGTCTCCCTCTCAAAAAGCCCTCCAACCATTTCTTTGTTAAACTCTGTATGCTATAGTTTTTCCATTATATGTATTAAAATGGTATCGAATGCTTTTTGTAGATAGATCTAAAAAAAAAAATAAGTTAAGATTTTTATTAGATCTATAAAAAATCTCAATATATATGTATTTTGTTTGATAACATTTTTAATGTCCTCCACTAAGTCGATCAGAGCTAGTGAAGTAGACACTGACTATCAAATCATGCTTCTCAATGAACTCCTGGAGTCTTGTATCAAATAGAGTCTCTAGTATTTTATACTGTGGCAGAAGGAGACAGGTCGAGGATTATTGAAACTGTGTTTATCTCCTGATTTGAAGATTGGTATAGCTCTGGCCATTTCCATTTGTGAGGAAAATGATAAATTCAGATGAAAGTAAAAGGTTTGGAGGATCTTCAACTGCTTCTGTAAACAAGGACACTAAATACAAGCCAAGACCAGAACCAGGACCAGGACATGGAGACAGAACATGACCCAGACCTCAACCTTGAGAGGACCAGGACCAGGACCTGCACTAGGACCTGGATATGACCAGGACCAGAGGTTGAAGGATACTGTATGGTGTCGCTGCACTGCCCTGCCACCACCAGGAGGCGCTCCCACATCAGGACCACAGAGGGCTGCTGGGCTCGAGGCCGACGGCACCTGCACAAGAGTAGGTTTAGACCCGGGGTTAGACCGGGGTTAGACTGGATTGGATCAAGACTCACCAGACCATCTGCTGTGGAGCTGAGTGCATCTTGGTGTCCACCTCACTGAACTTCTCCTGAAACACACACAGGTCTGGGTCTGGGTCTGGGTCTTTGTCTGGTCTAGGTCTGGTCTTTGTCTGGTCTAGGTCTGGTCTAGGTCTGGTCTAGGTCTGGTCTAGGTCTGGTCTTACCCTCAGGTCTGAGGTCCCGGTCCAGACCAGGCCGCTCTTGGTGAATACAGCCAGATATTTATAACTGAAGGAGACGCATATCTGAAGGATGGGTCCAGAGTCCGGAGTGAGACCAGGGGGGGTCTGAGGGAGAGACCAGGAGTTAGACCAAGACTGAGACCAGGGAGGTCGGAGAGAAACCAGGGGTCAGACCAGGACTGAGAGGGGTCTGAGAGACCATGAGTATATATAGCGGTATATATATATATATAAGTAAACATGACAGTATACATGACTCACCACGGCGATGCAGGAGGTGTTGTCCAGGACGTTCAGCTCGGAGCCATTGGACAGAAGGACTTTAGTCTGTCTGTCCTGAGTGAGGACACACCAGCAGGAGGGGGGCCCTTGGAGGCCTGGGGGAGTACTACAGTCAGAGACACACAGAGAGACACAGACACACCGGGAGAGAGATAGACACACAAAGAGAGAGAGAGAGAGACAGACACCCACACACACACAGGCACAGAAAGAGAGAGACACACACACAGTCACACACACAGACAACATACACACACACACAGACACACACCTGGGACCTCTGGGAGGCGCCGTAGCTTCAGATCATCAATGTTTGTTGCCACAGTAAAGCGTCCAGAGCTGGTTACTATGGCGACACCAGTGCCATATGGAGAGTGGAAGACTTTAGCCTCCATTACCTGACTTTGACTGACCTCCTGTGGACATATGTTATATTTACTGATATGTATTTTTTGTTATATATAGTCTGTATCACATTATCAGATTACATCTGTGTGTGTGTTAGTACATATATATACATTTCAGGTCACTATCTCTTGAAGCTCATCAAGAGAATGCCAAGAGTGTGAAGTAGTAATCAGAGCAAAAGGTGCTACTTTGAAGAACCGAGAAAATAAGACATATTTTCAGTTGTTTCATACTTTTTTTTTGTACGTACATAATTCCACATTAATTCATAGTTTTGATGCCTTCAGTGTGAATCTACAATTTTTATAGTCATGAAAAAACTCTTTGAATGGGAAGGTGTGTCCAAACTTTTGGTCTGTACTGTATAAATATACCGGTCCCAGGGAGAAGTGTCTCCTAAACGTCCCGAACAGGTCGTAGATGAGGACAGTGCCGTCGTCCTGGATACAGAGGAGCTCATCGCAGACGCTCCATCCCAGATGTACCACTGTCCCACTCTTCCACTGTGGAGCAGTGTTGCAAAAGTTACTTCAAAAACGTAATACATTTTGTTTTACTTATTATTGTTGTTTCCAAATAATGTATTACACTACAATATTACTGTCTCTGAATTGTAATGCATTACACTACTACTGCATTACTTTTAAGTTACTTTCTCCAAATATATATATATATATATATATATATTTATTTTTTATTTTGCTCCCTAAGCACTTTTTGGATTTCTCTGCATTAAAACAGCGCATTGGATTTGAAAAATCAATGTAAATGTGATCATTTTGGCACAATTACTTTTGTTTCACAAAGTAGCTTTCGTGAGCTCTTGACCGCAGAAGTCCGAATCTGTCGCTAACTTTACCAAACTTCTGCTGTTATGATGCTGCGGGCTATGCTGGCGCTTGTCAACATTAAGCCCATGGATGTGATCTGAGCTAATGCTGCTAGGCTAATGCCGTTTTGGTGCTTTCCCCTGACGTCAGAGCTTGCGGTAGCTTTAGCCAATCGGCACCGGGTTAACTGAAAGTCCCACCAGGGCCCAACAGAGTACCTAGCATGGAGGAGGGACTCTGTTGGGCACAGTGCAATTTGATGACACCTATCACAATACGGTATAACAAAAATCTCTATCGTTGGCCAAATTTGTATTGCATACCGCTTATACCATTTATATTGCCCAGCCCTAACTCATACAAATAATATTGCTAATAATAACAATAATGACAACAAAGCAGCTGCTGCTGCTGTGGCTGCTGCTGGTTCTTCTCCTCGTGTCCTGTTTGGTTGCCGCGTCACCATTCATTTTCAAATACAAAACTGTCGCTTATGAAGACGTCCCTTTAGATGCGTTACACCAACAAGTAATACATTACAGCAGTTACGTTACTTTTGTAATACATTACTCAAACACTGCTGTGGACACATATACTGTCATTTATGGTTTTGTTAAGTCCTCTGAGATGATTTCTGTTGTGATTTAGGGCTATACAAGAATTTGTTGTTGTTGTTATATACTGTTATCACTGTCCCACTCTTCCACTGTGGAACAGTCACATAGACAGTCACACAGACAGTCACACAGACAGTCATAAAGACTGTTTTACTCACAGTGAAGGATGATAGTGTGTTTCCAGATGCAGAGTAAATTTCCAGATGAGGACGAGAGCTCGGAGAACGTCTGTGAGGCTCCTTCAGGATTGCTGCACACAGGTCAGAGGTCACAGACAGACAGAGTCTAGTCTGGTCCTGGTCTAGTGTGATCCTGGTCTAGTACGGTCCTGGTCTAGTACGGTCCTCGTCCAGTGCGGTCCTGGTCCAGTGCGGTCCTGGTCCAGTGCGGTCCTGGTCCACTGCGGTCCTGGTCCACTGCGGTCCTGGTCCACTGCGGTCCTGGTCCACTGCGGTCCTGGTCTAGTCTGGTCCTGATACCGATGGGCCCCCCATATGGTGCTGCTCCCACTAGAGCGTCTTTGAGCCCGTCCTTCAGACTCCAGCTCATCTGGTAGAGCTCCGACTTCCTGAGGACGACCAAAGACAAACTCCCATTAAACATAAAGATCACAAGGCTGACAGCTGATTGGTTGAGTGATCGTATCTCTCTGATCGAAAGATGCGATATCACAAATACATGCTGTGAAACTAGTCACAGAAAAGAAAGCTTTTGAGCCAGAACAAGAGAAATGGGTTTAATAGAGTCTGAAAGTTAAAGACCCAAGCTTTAAAGTTACAGACCCGAGCTTTAATGCACAATATTCACCATTATCACTGCTCATTTTAAAGTGTACAACATATCATATGAATACAGGTGTATCTTGCTCTTGAGGAAACACTATCTCCTAGTGGTAGAAGTGGGACATGACACTCTGATTTCATGATTGAACCTAATATTATGTACATAATGACTATACTGACCGTTTATTTTTGTTATGACGTCATTAGCTGTAGAGGGTTCTGTACTTTATGGTGACGTCATGGTTTATATAATGTATTTCTAACAGTCTTATTACATGTTTGACGGCTGTAATATGTTTGTGGCATCCGGCTGCTCGACATAAACACAGGGTCAGCACCACTTTGATATCAATATAATAGTAAGTCATGACCTCCCATTGAGCCGAATTACTCCAACCCGGATCCAGAAATGTGATACGGAAGGGGATTAAAAGATAAATTCAATGAGAATATATTCAAGTCAGTTGGACTTGATATAAAGGGAGTTGTGGGGAGACACACATTTTCTGTATTTTAGTCTATTTTAAATCATGTCAAACCAGCTCCTGTTGAGAATCGGAGTCTGCACTGGAGCCAAACTTTATTTAAAGCTGAAAATATAAAATTTAAATATCATAATAGTGATAAAGAGCGCAGTTTTGTGGCCTTTAGCATTAGCCACAATAGCTCTGGAGCTACCCCCGGCTCTGCGCTCCTCTCACCGGTAAAAGGCGTCTCCAAGCGGGTTCCAGCTCGCGGTGACGAACGCCATGTTTGCACCGGGGCTGTGGGCATTTGTGGCCGGGCAGATGAGGGTCTTTAGCGGGTCTGTGTAGACAAGACACCGGGGGGAGAAGATTTGAAGCGGTTTGGAGTGAATGAATGTGGTGTTTGACAGCAGTCACATGACGGGACCCATCACAACATTCTTCTTCTTCTTCTTTGGTTGCTTAACGGCGGTTGCGAACTAGTGCAGCGCATTACCGCCACCCACCAGATAGATTGTGCATGTGTCACCTCTATGGCTTACAACTTCTGAAACAGTTTCGTAGCTTGGAGGCTACAGTAAATAAAACAAAAAAGATAACTTATGCATGTACATTTTAAATTCTTCTAATGAGTCCAGAGCGTTTTAGAAAACGCTCTGGACTCATTAGCCGGAACCCAAAAAAATTTAACATGTGTTCCCCTAGTCTCAATATTATGCAGCAAAGTTAATATCTCACACACTATGTCATATCTTTCACTTACATTACCAGATTTAAAATTCTCTAATGCTGACAATGAATCAGAGCATATACAACTCTTAGCGGTCTAATTTGTTCTACCCATTGTAGTGCCATAACAATAGCGACCAACTCTGCTGAATATACTGATATATGATCTGAGGCTCTTGCAGAAAACTTTATGTCAAACTCTGGTACCACATATGCTATTGCTATGTGCATGTTAAAGGTGAGGATGCTCTCCACCAGGCTCTTGTAGACGGTCTAAAGGATAGAACGACTCACACCAAAATTATTCAGTTTGCGAAGCAGATACAGTCGTTGTGAGCATTTCTTGAAAATGAAGTCTGTGTTCTTACAAAAGGCTAGTCTCCCATCTATGTACGTGCCAAGGTATTTGAAGTTATCAACCATCTCAACATTGGCACCATGAATCTTCACTTGTATCAATGTCTCTTTATCAATGTGCACAATGAGCTCTTCTGTTTTCAAAACATTGATTTCTAAAAAGCTGTCCCCACACCACTGCTGTAACATGGACAAATGAAAAATACAGACTCTCCAATACAGTGTTCCCTTTCTGTAGTAAAGCAACAAGAGCCACATCGTCGGCAAATTTTAAAAGTTAAAAAGATTCCTCATGAACATGTAATGCACTGGTATAAATTGAAAAAAAGCAAAGGAGACAGAATTGTCCCTTGAGGTGCACCTGTATTTAAGACAGTCACTTCTGAGATATCAGAACCAAGTACTACTCTTTGAGGACGATTAGATAAAAAGTCTCTGACCCATTTGATTATACCTCCATTAACATCAAGGTGCATAAGTTGACTCAATAAAATATTTACCTGCATAGAGTTAAAATCTGACATGAAATCCACAAAGAGAATTCTAGCATAGTGGTTAGAGGCCTGGAGATGTTCGGCTGCAGTGTTAAACAGAGTGATAGCTGCCTCCTCTATGCTTCTCCGACTTCTCCCTATTTATTGGCCCATTCCTCCACCTTATTTAGAGCATCCTGCATTTTCTTCTGTAGGTATTTTAAATTCCGATCTCGTACCCACAATGCCCCATCATCAGCATACAAAGACTTGCTTATGGTCTTATCCACATTATCAAAGATGTCATGAATCATAATATCCAAAATTACAGGACTACACACACTCCCCTGCGGGTTTCCATTTTCAACTGCAAAAACGCCAGAATACGTGGCTCCAACCCGAACTTCAATCTAACGGTCAAATAAGAAGTCCAACACCCAGTTATACAGTTTCCCTCTAACTCCAATCTTGTCCAGTTTGATAAGCAGCCCCTTATTCCAAAGCATATAAGCTTTTTCAATATCAAAGATTACTGCTAGGGCCACTTCTTTATTTGTCTGAGGCTTCCTTATTTCCGACTCCAAGCACAATATAGCATCCATTGTTCTTCTTCCTTTACAAAAGCCACTTTGAAGCAGGCTGAGCATCTGCACGTTCTCCAAATTATCAATCATCAATCAATCAACGTTTATTTGTAGAGCGCCTTTCCTACACAAGGCAACGCAAAGCGCTTCACATCCCCTATCACATCATGCATAAATCAAACACATTAAGAGCACAAGATATATTAAAAACATTAAAAATAAAATCACAAAAATTAAAAACCTTTAAACATTAAAATCACAGATGGGACTAAAATCATAAATAGTCACAGTGCATTAAAAAGATTAAAGATAAAAACAAAGATGAAAAGATAAAATCATTCAGTTGTATATGCGCAGCTAAACAGAATTGTTTTGAGCCTAGATTTAAAAGATGCCAGAGTAGACGCCTGTCTCACATTCTCAGGAAGACGGTTCCAGACTCTAGCCGCATGAATCTGAAATGCAGTTTGCCCATGTCTAGTACCGACTCTGGGCACTAACAGGAGTCCAGTCCCTGTGCTCCTCAGAGTCCGGGTCGGTTCATATGGCACAAACATGTCATGGATGTACCTTGGCGCGAGACCATGGAGAGACTTGTACACAAGTAAAGCTGCTTTGAAGTCTATTCTCTGAGGAACAGGAAGCCAGTGCAGAGACCTGAGAACTGGACTAATGTGGTCGCACTTCCTAGTTCTGGTCAGGACTCGAATTATTAGTAATTATTTTTTCCATTGTTTTCCCCAATTGTGACGTAACCGCAATCGGTCTGTAGTTTGATGGATCCAACGCATCTTTAGCAGGTTTTAAAATTGGAATGACAGTAGACTGTTTCCACACTTCAGGATCCTTCCTGTCTCCCACACATGGTTGAAAAATTGCAATACAGCTTCTAATGAATCATCTTCCAATTTTGCTAACATATAGCAAATTCCATCCTTGCCTGGGGTGGTCTGTTTCGCATACACAATCGCTCTTTTCAGTTCAGACAAAGTCAACGGTTTATCCATACTGTCCTCTGTAATATTCTTTTTGTTGACTATTCCTGGGTTTTCCCATAAACTGTTTATATTAACGGACGTAGTCACGCCTATCTCCGCCGTTCAAAATGGCCGCGGGGACTCGATAATGTAAAGAAACGCATCTGCGCATGCGTCAGCCGGCACGAGCTCCATTCATTTAAACGAGTGACTTCAAAAATTCACAGCGACTAAACTAGACTGTGAATTTTGCACATGTGTGCCAATAACGGAGCTTTGGGCCAATATTCAAAATTCTCTTCAACTTGATTTCAATTCAGTTCAACTCTGGCAACAATCTAGCAAACTTTTACTCAACAAATCCAAATCTAATTTTATGTTGTTCCAGAAACGAGTCCGTCCCATGTCTACTAATGAAATTAATCTTTTGTTTTTAGACAAGTCTCCACTCCCAATGGGCTATACGGTGGCTGAGTGGATAGCACTCTCGCCTCTCAGCAAGAAGGTCCTGGGTTCGAATCCCGGTCGGACCAGGGCCTTTCTGAGTGGAGTTTGCATGTTCTCCCCGTGTCTGCGTAGGTTTCCTCCGGGTACTCCGGTTTCCCCTACCACTAAAAATATGTCCAATAGTTCTGGCATGCGCCTCCTGTACTGGCGACCCCGCTCCCATCTCTGTGTGGAGTGAGAGACAAATGCCCAAAATTAACAATTGTAAACCGCTTTGAGACTCAGATCTGCAGTGAAAAGGCGGTATATAAATAAAAACTTACTTACTTACTATATGCACGGGGAGGCGTGACGTCATTTCCTGTTAACGCAGATCAGCCCGTTCACTTCCTGTCTATACTATTCTATGGCATTTAGGTGGGTTTTAGTGACGGTTTTTAGTAATTAGATTGATAGATTCAGCTGTGAGACTGACCCAAAAGTGTCGTTGTGCTTTCTCTCTGAGGAATAGCTTTGACTGTGGCCAACTTTATAAAAGCACAATGACAGCCCAATCAAAGAGCACTGTTGTGTCCCAAAAATGCCCAGTATCCTCACAGTTTAATTCCCGTTTGAGCATTATTTGGGAAACTCGTGTAAACCACTGCTGAACTCCAGTGAAACTCAAGCCATTTCCCGCGAACAGGAAGTGAAGTGGGGCTTTAGCTAAAACGCAGAAGTGGTGCGTGCATAGAGCCCATTGTTGATCAGTTTAAATACCTTGGTTTATGGCTTGACTCCTCACTCACATACAGACAATCTCAAACAAAATTTCATATCGTCTAAAATTATTTTATCAATCAATTAATTGCTTCAGTTTTTCAGTTAGGAAAATAATTATTTCACAGTTGATCCTTCCCATTCTTGATTACAGTGACATCATCTATCAAAACACTTCTGCCTCCATCCTCCAGCCTCTGAATGTCACAACAGCCTGTGTAGGTTCATTCTCCGCTGTCCTTTTAGGACCCACCTCTGTCTGCTGTACGAGCAGCTGTCGTGGCTCTCTCTGTCCTCCAGACGTCAGCTTCATTGGCTGTTTATTTTTAAATGTATCAATCTAAGTTTTCTTGTCTATTTAAAACAGGGACAGGGGCGGGGACAGGGGTAAGCCACGGGGGAAAGTCGCGAGCAGAGGAGAGCAACAAGCCGAGAAAAGCCACGGAGACGAGGCACGAGCAAAGGAAAGCCACGGAGGAAAACCACGAGCGGGTCCCGTCAAGCCCCAAGGAGACGTACTGCGAAGCGACCTACACACGGGCTCATACCCCCGCCTGCGCAGTAAGTAGCGGTCCAAGACACGTTTACCCCTCGTAGCCTTTGGCCTATATCCGTGTGCCTTTTCCTGCTCCGGTGTGCTCTCTTCCCCCAGAAGTCTACGGCCTGGGATCGGGAGTGGCAGCTGGAGCGGTCCAAGACGCGTTTACTTTCATAGCCTTTGGCCATATACGTGTGCTGTGTTCTGCTCCGGTGTGGACACTTCCCCCCAAGGCAGGGCAAGGCAAGGCCTACGGCCTGGGATTCGGAGTGGCAGCTGGAGGGCTACAATGTGTGGTACAGAGTGAGGACGCGAAAACATTGGGACGTACCGCGAAGCAATCTACACGCAGCGGCGCGGCTCATACCCCGCTTGCGCCGTAAGTAGCGGTCCAAGCCGCGTTAACCAATAGCCTTTGGCTTTATATACGTGTGCTGTGCTCTGCCGGTGCGCTCTCTCCCCCCAGAAGCCCCAGCCCATGGTCCGGAGCGGTGTGCGCCATACGCACTAGGGACTAGCGCCATCGAGCTGCCTCTGGCCCTCTTTCAGCCTCAGCCATTGGGGCAATCCCCACGGAGCCTCCACACCAGAGGTTCCTAGGTTTTAAAAAAAGGACTTTTTAGAGAACTTTTACAACTTTTATGCTTGTATTCTTGTTTAATAAATACTGCAATTTTAATAGAAGTTTTGTCTCTTTTTGGGAACACCACCATTGCTCTCATTCTCCATAACTAGATAATTTGGCCCTTTCACTCCTACCCAACCTTCATTCTCTGCAATTAAACTCCATTACATAATTACTAAAGAACGTCACTAAAACCCACCTAAAATCCATAGCGATAGCATAGGCAGGAAGTGAACGGACTGATCTGCGTTAACAGGAAATGATGTCACGTCTCCCTTTGCATATAGCCCATGCAATATTAAAAAAGGTTAATAAAATAAACAAGAATACACTATTATTTAGTGACTGAAATGAGACGGAAATTAGAAACATTTGTGTGAGAAAGAGCCCTGTGAGTTACTATCTGACTTTAAAGTTACATGGTCTCTGCTCTCCCTGGTCTCTCTGCTCACTAGTCCCTGGTCTCACTGGTTTCTCTGGTCCCTGGTCTCTCTGGTTTCTCTGCTCACTGGTCCCTGGTCTCACTGGTTTCTCTGGTCGCTGGTCTCCCTGGTCTCTGGTCTCTCAGTTGTCAGTCTCCAGTTTCCTCTAGAGCAGGAACAGGTTCATAATAACGACTATAATCAGAGGAAATACTTTTGTTTCTCATGACGCAGGAACATTCTTCAACAACCGGTTAAAGCTCTCGACTCAAAGAGGCAAATAGTTACAGACCCCAGCTTTAAACATGTGTTATTTATAAGACAAGATAAACTTTATTGATCACACAATGGATGAATGTACATGTCACATTTGGCATGGATAGAATCAGATTGTGCAAAAGACAGAAATGTGCAGCATATTAAGGTTAAAAATATACACTGCAGGATATTATGTACAAAAAGGAAAAAAATGGCAAGAAAAAAAGAGGCAATAGCAGTGCTGGTTCTTCAGTCCTAGTGCAGGTCATAAGTGACTTAAAATGACTTATTGTACAGTCTGACAGCGGTGGGGATAAAGGCCCTGCGGTATCGTTCCTTCTTGCACTGAGGGTGCCTCAGTCTTCCACTGAAAGAACTCTTTCAGTTACAGACCCCAGCTTCAATAAACATTACTGTTATTTGAGGCTAAAGTTGTCGTTCATCAGAGCCAAAACGCCTGCCGCAGACTCCCCCTGGCGGCCGATCGTAGCAGCGCAGCAGCAGCAGCTTATGGGTTAAATATTTGAGCAGTGAAGCTCAGGGCGAGGCTCGGGAACTGAGGAGAAAAGTCCTGGAAACCTCAGTCCGGGACCTCCGCGGGACACCACGATCTGCACAGGGTTTGCACAGGGTCTGTCCGGGTTTTTAAAGTTTAAATCAGGTTTTACGGAGTTTTGAAGATGGTGACGTTGGAGACGCACCAGAGCCAGGAGCTACAGGTCCCCGCTCTGGACCAGGTCTCGGGTCTGGACCAGGTCTTGAACTCGGGGCTGGGTCTGGTCTCGGGTTTTGACGCAGGTCTGGACTCGGAGCAGAACCAGGACTCGGGACCCAACGCCATCACGGTCCTGACGCTGTTGGACAAACTGGTGCTAATGTTGGATTCTGTGCAGAAAGACCAGCACAACATGGAGGTATGTATATACCTCATAATAAACTGTTATATATACAGTTAGATACACTGTCATGTATACTGTTATATATGTGTGCGTAATATACACTGTCATGTATACTGTTATACTATTATATATACTGTTATACTATCATAAAAACTGCCATGTATACTGTTATATATGTGTGCGTAATATATACTGTCATGTATACTGTTATATATACTGCCATGTATACTGTTATATATGTGTGCGTAATATATACTGTTATACATACTGTTATACTATTATATACACTGTGATGTATACTGTTATATATACTGCCATGTATACTGTTATATATACTGTCATGCATACTGTTATACTATTATATACACTGTGATGTATACTGTTATATATACTGTCATGCATACTGTTATACTATTATATATACTGTCATGTGTACTGTTATATATACTGCCATGTATACTGTTGTAAATGCTTTCATGTACACTGTTATATATACTGTCACATATCCTTCATATATACTGGCTCAGTGATGCCACAGTGATGTCACAGTAACTGAGGGATTTCCTCCAGGTGCACCAGGTGCAGATGGAGGCGGTGGTCAGGGGGATCCAGGCTGATATGACCAAACTGTCCAAGAGCCACAGTCACACTGCAAACACTGTGAGCAAACTGCTGGACAAGAGCAGGAAGCTGAGTGTGACCATGAAGGAGGTGAGTGACACCATGATGAAGGTGAATGTGACCATGAAGGAGGTTAGTGTGACCATGAAGGAGGTGAGTGACACCATGATGAAGGTGAATGTGACCATGAAGGAGGTTAGTGTGACCATGAAGGAGGTGACTGTGACCATGATGAAGGTGAATGTGACCATGAAGGAGGTGACTGTGACCATGATGGAGGTTAGTGTGACCATGAAGGAGCTGAAAGAGTGTGTGCGTGTGTGTATATCACTGTGTGTGCGTCTTTAACCCTGGGGTGATGTGTTCTCAGGTTCGCTCTCAGATGGACAAACAGAATGTTCAGGTGAAAAAGCTGGAGATGAACCACAACCACCTGATTGACCGCAACCAGTTTAGAGTACTCATCTTCCAGGTAACACACACATACATAGGGACACACACACAGGGACACACACACATTCTTGGGCTCATTGTTCTGAAGTGTTTCCTTCCTGTTTCCAATGACTGGAGAATATACATGTGTGAGATCACCTGGGTGGAAGCAACGGCTGGTCTGTTCCTCGCAGTAGTTGTAGTAGTAGCAGCAGTAGTAATAGTAGTCGTAGTAGCAGCAGAAGGAGCTGCAGCAGTAGCATTAGCAGTTGCAGTAGTAGTTGCAGTAGTAGTAACAGTAGAAGTAGCAGTAGTAGTAACAGAAGGAGCAGCAGCAGTAGTAGTAGCGTTTGTTGTAGTTCATGTATGAGTGGGACATTCTGCAGATGTCTCTGGTCACATGACTCTGGGGGATGTCCGTATTTGGGCGTTGGTGGAAAAACTTGGAAATGTTTTTGGAAAAGGAGCGGTCGCCACGGAGACACTTCCAAAACACAAGTGTGTGCATGTCTCTCTCTGGTCTCTCTCTGGTCTATCTCTCTGGTCTATCTCTCTGGTCTCTCTCTCTCTGGTCTCTCTCTCTCTGGTCTCTCTCTCTGGTCTCTCTCTGGTCTCTCTCTGGTCTATCTCTCTGGTCTATCTCTCTCTCTGGTCTCTCTCTCTGGTCTCTCTCTGGTCTATCTCTCTGGTCTCTCTCTGGTCTATCTCTCTGGTCTCTCTCTCTCTGGTCTCTCTCTCTGGTCTCTCTCTGGTCTATCTCTCTGGTCTCTCTCTCTCTGGTCTCTCTCTCTGGTCTCTCTCGGGTCTCTCTCTCTGGTCTCTCTCTCTGGTCTCTCTCTCTGGTCTCTCTCTCTCTGGTCTCTCTCTCTGGTCTCTCTCTTTGGTCTCTCTCTCTGGTCTCTTTCTCTGATCTCTCCCTGGTCTCTCTCTGGTCTTTCTCTCTAGTCTCTCCAGTTTATCTCTGGTCTCCCCCTAGTCTCCCCCCCTGGTTTTTCTCTTGTCCCTCTCTCTCTGCTCTCTCTCTCTGCTCTCTCTCTCTGCTCTCTCTCTCTGCTTTCTTTCTAGTCTTACTCTCCTTTTCTGGATCAGGACCAGACAGAGATCCCGGCCTCGGTCTTTGTCAAAGACTCACCGCCGTTTCCTCGTGATGACATCACGGAGGAAGGGGAGGGGCTTGAGACAGGGGGGGCGGGACTTCATACCATCGACCTATCGTCTGATGAGGAGGTGGGATTGGAGGCGGAGCCAGAGGAGGACTGGAGTCAGGACCTGGACCTGGAGCTGGAGCTGGGACCGACCAGAGCCGAGAAACTGAAGAGGAGCAGTCTGAAGAAGGTCTGTGAGAACTTCTCTTTAGATCAGGGGTGTCAAACTCATTTTGGTCCGGGGGCCAAATACAACCTAATTGGATCTCAAGTGGGCCGGACCAGAAGATGCTCTACAAAAATACCCCAAAACGGTACAAAGTCCAAATTTTTGTGCACATAAACACATTCATATAATAGTTCCTTTAAAACACTGTCCTTTAATACTCACTTAGTTTTAACCGTAAATCTGTTACAAACTTAAATGTAACAATGAGTTTTTCATAGTGCAAATAATGTAATGTATTTACGATATTACATTGTAAATGGCATTTCACAATATTTATATTAATAAATGTATGTTAGCTTTGTTTTAAGGCTCATTACAGAGAAAACTTGCTCACAAAGGTAAAGTAGGTAGATAGAAAAAAGCACTTTAACACAGCACCTCATAATTATCAGAGAGAAAGCATCGAACTGACCATGAGTCAGATGAAATGAACAAAACAACTTCCATAACGTGATCCATTCTTAACGACTGCAGCGGTGTCTCTGTGTAAAATACAGTCAAATGTCCAAAAATCATCAACTACACCTGCTTTTACCGTCGGTACCAGGCTGACAGCGTAGGACCAGTCCACACTGTCCAACAGCACCAGCAACAACAGCAGAACCAGCAGCACCAGCGCTCAAAACTCCTCTGATAGTTTCAGTAACACCACAAATGAATCAGTACAGACGCACTGGACTCGCTGCTACAGACGCACTGGACTCGCTGCATAATATTATTATTATCATTTTACATAAACGAGCCGCGGGCCGCATCAAATCTCTTGGCGGGCCTGATCCGGCCCGCGGGCCGAATGAATGACACCCCTGCTTTAGATAATCTTCCCCTAACACTTCTCTGGTCTCTCTCACTGGTCTCTCTGGTCTCTCTCTGGTCTCCCTGGTCTCACCTGGTCTCTCTCTGATCTCTGGTTCCAGGTGGACTCTCTGAGAAAGGCCTTTTCGAAGCAGAACTTTGAGAAGAAAATGACAAAAATTGGGACCAAACTGGTTTCAGCTGAACAGAAGCTGAAGATCAAGTCTCCGGTGTTTGGACTCAAGAAGGTATGAGTTCAGGTCCACGTCTGGGGTTCGGGTCCGGGTCCTGGTCTAGGTAAAGGGCTGGGTTAGACCTCAAATCTGGGTTAGGACTCCAGTTCAGACTTGTTTGTGTTTGTTTCAGTCTCAAGCTTCTGCTGAGGTGTCTGAGATGTTTGATGTCCCAGAGGAGATCCAGGAGGAGGTCCATCAGGTCCAAGAGGAGGTCCCTCAGGTCCAAGAGGAGGTCCCTCAGGTGCATGAGGAGGTCCCTCAGGTCTCTGCTGAAGCTCTACCCCAGACTGAAGCTGTATCTGTGGGATATCAGGACCAGGACCAGCTGAACCCTGAGGGAGTGAGTCCAGACTACGCCCTGTCCTCCACACTGCCCCAGGACCAAGACCAGGACCAGGACCAAGACCCGGAGCAGGACAAGGAGAAAGACCAGGAGCAGGACCAGGAACAGAATGTCAATCTGCAGCAGAAAGACCAGGACCAGGACCTGGTCTGAGCCCAGGACCATGACATCACTGTGACATCACTGTGACATCACGGTGACATCACGGTGACATCATGGTGACATCACTGTGTGAAACATGTTTTTCAGCTGGATTTTATTTGTTTTTACTAAAAAGAACTGAACTTCTGACACAGAGACCACACACACACACACACACACACACACACACAGACAAACACATTTGCAGAAGTTCAGTTCTGAAACGTTTCACTTCTGAGTGTGACTAACTCACAGTGTGTCATATAAACATAATAGTGTGTGTGTGCGTGTGTGTGTGTGTGTGTATGTGTGTGTGTGCGTATGTGTATGAGATACAACAAAGACCAAAGATTCCCAATGAACTAAAACAGTGTGTTTTTATCACAGCGTTACATGTTCTATATAAATAAACAATACAAGGTGTGTATTATTACAATGTGTATTAACAGTCTGTGTTCATGTGACATCACACACTCCAGAGAGCGACAGTTTCACATGCTGGAGAGAAAGAGAAGACAAGATATTCCTTTTTTGGTCCCACAGCGCAGTGCGCACATTACAGCAGAGAAAGAAGGAAATAAGAGCACTCAGATTGCACACGTCAAATAGAGACTATTATTAAAGATAATAGACAATATAATTATAATAAGATAATAAGATGGTAAAATAGAATAAAATAAACTCTGGAGCTATAATTACATGTGGTTCAGAAGTATTTACAGATGTGTATTCTATATTTTAGCTGAAGACGAAGATGGATGGATAATGCAGTAATATAATAACAGGTAAAGTGACTAATATTATCAGTGACACTTGAACAGACTCAACAGTTCTTGTTATACATTCTTGTTGCGACAGTAGCTCAGTTGGTAGAGCATTGGCCTTAAGGCCAGAAGGTCGTGGGTTCAATTCCCACCTCTGCACCTTCTCCATCCACTCCCACTGATGACTGCTGTCGTTGTGTCCTTGGGCAAGACACTTTACCCCACTTTGCCCATGAAACAGTCTGAAACAGTCTGACACAGTCTGAAACAGTCTGAAACAGTTTGAAACACTCTGAAACACTCTGAAACACTCTGAAACAGTCTGAAACAGTCTGAAAAACTCTGAAACACTTTGAAACAGTCTGAAACAGTCTGAAACACTCTGAAACAGTCTGAAACACTCTAAAACAGTTTGAAACACTCTGAAACACTCTGAAACAGTCTGAAACACTCTGAAACACTCTGAAACAGTCTGAAACAGTCTGAAAAACTCTGAAACACTTTGAAACAGTCTGAAACAGTCTGAAACACTCTGAAACAGTCTAAACACTCTAAAACAGTCTGAAACACTCTGAAACACTCTGAAACAGTCTGAAAAACTCTGAAACACACTGAAACAGTCTGAAACAGTCTGAAACAGTTTGAAACAGTCTGAAACAGTTTGAAAGAGTCTGAAACAGTCTGAAACAGTCTGAAACACTCTGAAACAGTCTGAAACACTCTGAAACAGTTTGAAACAGTTTGAAACACTCTGAAACACTCTGAAACACTCTGAAACAGTTTGAAACACTCTAAAACAGTCTGAAACAGTCTGAAAAACTCTGAAACAGTCTGAAACAATCTGAAACAGTCTGAAACAGTCTGAAACACTCTGAAACACTCTGAAACGCTCTGAAACAGTCTGAAACAGTTTGAAACACTCTGAAACACTCTGAAACAGTCTGAACAGTCTGAAACAGTCAAAAACAGTTTGACACAGTCTGAAACACTCTGAAACAGTCTGAAACAGTCTGAAACAGACTGAAAAACTCTGAAACACTCTGAAACAGTCTGAAACACACTGAAACACTCTGAAACACTCTGAAACACTCTGAAACACTCTGAAACAGTTTGAAACACTCTAAAACAGTCTGAAACAGTCTGACACACTCTGAAACACTCTGAAACAATCTGAAACAGTTTTTGAAAGTTTGAAACAGTCTGAAACAGTCTGAAACAGTCTGAAACAGTCTGACACACTCTGAAACAGTCTGAAACAGTTTGAAACAGTCTGAAACAGTCTGAAACACTCTGAAACACTCTAAAACAATCTGAAACACTCTGAAACACTCTGAAACAGTCTGTAACACTCTGAAACAGTCTGTAACACTCTGAAACAGTCTGAAACAGTCTGTCTGAAACACTCTGAAAAACTCTGAAACAGTCTGAAACACTCTGAAACAGTCTGAAACAGTCTGAAACACACTGAAACCGTCTGACACACTCTGAAACAGTCTGAAACAGTTTGAAACAGTCTGAAACAGTCTGAAACCGTCTGACACACTCTGAAACAGTCTGAAACAGTTTGAAACAGTCTGAAACAGTCTGAAACAGTTTGAAACAGTCTGAAACACTCTGAAACAGTCTGAAACAGTTTGAAACAGTCTGAAACAGTCTGAAACACTCTGAAACACTCTAAAACAATCTGAAACACTCTGAAACACTCTGAAACAGTCTGAAACACTCTGAAACAGTCTGAAACAGTTTGAAACAGTCTGAAACAGTCTGAAACAGTCTGAAACACTCTGAAACAGTCTGAAACAGTTTGAAACAGTCTGAAACAGTCTGAAACACTCTGAAACACTCTAAAACAATCTGAAACACTCTGAAACACACTGAAACCGTCTGACACACTCTGAAACAATCTGAAACAGTTTGAAACAGTCTGAAACAGTCTGACACACTCTGAAACAGTCTGAAACAGTTTGAAACAGTCTGAAACAGTCTGAAACACTCTGAAACACTCTAAAACAATCTGAAACACTCTGAAACACTCTGAAACAGTCTGAAACAGTCTGAAACAGTCTGAAACACTCTGAAACAGTCTGTAACACCCTGAAACAGTCTGAAACAGTCTGAAACACTCTGAAACACTCTGAAACAGTCTGACACACTCTGAAACACTCTGAAACACTCTGAAACACTCTTAAACAGTCTGAAACAGTCTGAAACACACTGAAACCGTCTGACACACTCTGAAACAGTCTGAAACAGTTTGAAACAGTCTGAAACAGTCTGAAACAGTTTGAAACAGTCTGAAACAGTCTGAAACACTCTGAAACAGTGTGAAACAGTCTAAAACACTCTGAAACAGTTTGAAACAGTCTGAAACAGACTGAAAAACTCTGAAACACTCTGAAACGCTCTGAAACACTCTAAAACAATCTGAAACACTCTGAAACACTCTGAAACAGTCTGAAACACTCTGAAACAGTCTGACACACTCTGAAACAGTCTGAAACAGTTTGAAACAGTCTGAAACAGTCTGAAACACTCTGAAACAGTGTGAAACAGTCTAAAACACTCTGAAACTGTTTGAAACAGTCTGAAACAGTCTGAAACAGTCTGAAACAGTCTGAAACAGACTGAAAAACTCTGAAACACTCTGAAACGCTCTGAAACACTCTAAAACAATCTGAAACACTCTGAAACACTCTGAAACAGTCTGAAACACTCTGAAACAGTCTGTAACACCCTGAAACAGTCTGAAACAGTCTGAAACACTCTGAAACAGTCTGAAACAGTCTGAAACACACTGAAACCGTCTGACACACTCTGAAACAGTCTGAAACAGTTTGAAACAGTCTGAAACAGTCTGAAACACTCTGAAACAGTCTGAAACAGTCTGAAACCGTCTGACACACTCTGAAACAGTCTGAAACTGTTTGAAACAGTCTGAAACAGTCTGAAACAGTTTGAAACAGTCTGAAACAGTCTGAAAGACTCTGAAAGAGTCTGAAACACTCTGAAACAGTCTGAAACAGTCTGACACACTCTGAAACACTCTGAAACTGTCTAAAAATGTCTGAAACAGTCTGAAACAGTCTGAAATAGTCTGAAACAGTCTGAAATAGTCTGAAACAGTCTGAAACAGTCTGAAACAGTCTGAAATAGTCTGAAACAGTCTGAAACAGTCTGAAACAGTCTGAAACAGTCTGAAACAGTCTGAAATAGTCTGAAACACTCTGAAACAGTTTGAAAAAGGCTCAGTGTTGTTGTTATTGTTCATAAATGAGATGTTTTTCTTTGATAAATACTTTACATTTCTCTTTTGTGAGATCATAAATCTTTCTTCTTCTCTGCTCATTCTTCACCAAATCTAACTTATCACAAATGGATGGACAGCTTTTTAGAACAACAAACCTCTTCCCTCCTCTCTCTCCTCTCCTCTCCCTTCTCTTCTCTCTCGTTTCTCTCCTCTCCTCTCCTCTCTCTCTCTCTCCTCTCCTCTCTCTCCTCTTTCTCTCTCCTCTCTCTCCTCTTTCTCTCTCCTCTCCTCTCTCTCCTCTCTCTCCTCTCCTTTTTCTCTCTCTCCTCTCCTCTCTCTCTTCTTTCTCTCTCCTCTCTCTCCTCTCCTCTCTCTCCTCTCTCTCTCTTAGTCTGAGTGGATCTGGTTTAGTCTGAGTGGATCCGGTTTAGTCTGAGTGGATCCAGTTTAGTCTGAGTGGATCCAGTTTAGTCTGAGTGGATCCAGTTTAGTCTGAGTGGATCTGGTTTAGTCTGAGTGGATCCGGATTAGTCTGAGTGGATCCGGTTTAGTCTGAGTGGATCCGGATTAGTCTGAGTGGATCCAGTTTAGTCTGAGTGGATCCAGTTTAGTCTGAGTGGATCCAGTTTAGTCTGAGTGGACCCGGTTTAGTCTGAGTGGATCCAGTTTAGTCTGAGTGGATCCAGTTTAGTCTGAGTGGATCCGGTTTAGTCTGAGTGGATCCAGTTTAGTCTGAGTGGACCCGGTTTAGTCTGAGTGGATCCAGTTTAGTCTGAGTGGATCCAGTTTAGTCTGAGTGGATCCGGTTTAGTCTGAGTGAATCCAGAGCCAGAGCAGCTGGAAGTTGTTTTTGTCCTGCAGAGAAATGCGACTGTGACTTGGAAGTTTATGACCATATTTGGGAGTAACATGTTTAATTAAGTTAACAACAGTAAGTCATGTTTATTTATTTACTCATTACATTCAGACCTATTGTGCATGGGTGTAGTGGTAGG